GGGGGGGGGGGGGTTGGTGGTGTAGAAAAAAAAAACTAAAAACTGAAAATACAAAAAAATAGAAAATAGAAAATACAAAAAAAAAAGTAAAAAATTTCTTTTTGAGGGGGGCGGGCAGGGTAGGTGGACGGTGCAGAAAAACAAAAGAACATAAAATTAAAAATACAAAAAAAAGTAAAATTGGGGCAACTAAATAAAATTCTATATAAGTTGGGTTGAATACCTTTTGTTTTGGGTGAGTTTCATGGGTTGTATTTGGGTTGTTTAATGGGTCAGAATGAGCTATAAAATATAATGGGTTAACTTAGGCTCAGCCCAAATTGGCCCATGAGCTAAAATGTTTGTAACCCAACACATTAATCTTTGGGCGGGTTGGATGAGTTTGGGCTCAAATTGCCACCCCTACTTTGGTGCATGTAGCGGTGCACATAAATACTTTTCGAAATTAAAATTTTGATTTTTTTTGAATTAGGATAATATATTTTATCATAGCAGTGAAATTCAATTTGACCAAATACGTTAATTGTTCTTGCAAAATAAAGTTTTTTCTACAGTATTTTTTCCCTTTTTCTTTTCGGCGCTATGACAAGTACTACTATTTTTTTTTTTTTTTTTTACGTACCATGAACAAGTAGTAGTACTAAATATCAACAAAAATGTAATTTTCATTTTGAGAATAACACCTATTTATTTTTTACTTCACAAATATTATCAAATATTTATTTTTATATTCAGTACAACGCAGAGAGGTGAAATAAGTAAAATTATACTAGTAACTTAGATATGTTGAATTACGTGATTGTCAAGCGCATCAATTTATTTTGTTTTTGGGTGAAAATAAATGGTAGTGAGACGTGAATGTGATATTTAAGAGTTAGATAACTAACCAAATAATCTATTTCATGAGCAAGCTGTTATAACTATTAAAGGTGGCTCTCATTATATATTGCCTACATAATTATCTAATCAATCTGACAACATATATAATGGTAGTTATAATTTCATAATCCAGAGTATTATGATTAATGACTAACTGTATTCTTTACATATTTGTAGAAAACGTTGATTAAACCATGTGCTAAAAAGCCACAAATGGATCTCTTCTTTTCCGATAATTGATTGATTAAGTAAATTCTACTTGAAGCTGTAATACAATATTAGTAGTAAACTGTGTCATCATGAATTTCTTCTTAATATAAAATAATTTGCACGTTAAGGCAAAGAAAAATAACAACTTTCGTAAATCGCATGTCTTTGATCCTATTAATTATTAGTAAGATATATTTAATGAAATTATATTATTGGTATTGTATCAAATGCTAATTTTTTTTGTACCAATTTTTAGCTTAAAGAAAATTCTGTTGACATTATTAGTTTTCACACAAAAGCAAAAGGGGAGTATGCAGTGATAACCAAATAAAGTCATTACATTAACATCCACGAAATTGGATATTTAAGTTCTACTTTTAAATCTAATAAATTAAGAACGCAAGTGATTATCATCCTTTACTTTTTATTTTATAAAAAGAGAGGGAGAGAGGAAAAGAAAAAGGGACACATAGCAAATTATTACAAGGATATGATGTAATAAATTCAAAAGAAATATATTGTCAAATGGATAGGAAGTGGGATGCAACATATCTCTGCGTATTTTAGAAGTTTTCGATTCATAAATCCAATTGTGGAAGACATACTTAGCTTTGACATTAAGCTTGCATCATTTCCATTTTCCTTTTTTTCTTTTTTTCTTTTTTATCCCTTTTTACTGTAGTACCCACTATAACCATATGGTTATTGTTTTAAAATTGAAACAAGGGTCACATTATGGCATAAGTTGATTTTCTCATGAGTTTAATTGTTAAATGTTAATGCCATTTTACCTTATATTAAATTTATTTTGAAAACTACAACTCAATAGAATCAAAAGTTTGATCAGAAATTTAAGCATAACAGTTCCTCAATTCACAAATGCGCAAGATCAATTTGAAAAGAAGAAAACGAATATATTAAAAAGAAGAAGAAAAGTTGGGAATATTTAATAGTAACAATAATTATTTAAAAAAAATTAGGAATATATTGTGAAAATATATGAACCAACTTTGCTGTATAATCACTCTTTAACTCTTTAATACCCTTCCTTTTTAAAACATCTTCTAATGGTTTCAAACGAGTGATAAAACAATGAGTAAAAATAATAGAAATGTAAATAACCCCTCGGATAAAAATATGTACCATAAACTGCCCATCGAGCATAATATCAACAAAACCAGCCCCTCGGGTATAACATGAATCAAGAACTACCCCTCGGGTAAAACATGGATCAACAACATCCCCTCGGGCAACAATATGAATCAACAACAGCCCCTCAAGCTACATCACATCACTCACATTGGGTACCCGCACTCACTGGAGGTGTACAGACTCCGGAGGGACTCCTACAACCCAAGCGCTATAACAAGCCATCTAGTGGCATAATCAATCAGGCCCTCGGCCTCACATAACAACAAGCCACCCCGTGGCATAAATCAATCAGGCCCTCGGCCTCACAATATCATGAATCAGTAACAAGCTGCTGCGACGTGCAGCCCGATCCCATAATATCCTCACAACACAGACCCTCGGTCTCACTCAGTCAGAAAGCCTCTCAACCTACTCGGGCTACCAGTAAAAAAAAATAGGTTGCTAGCCCAAAATATCATTTAAAGTATCAAAGCGGAATAAATACGGCTGAGTTATGAAATCAGTAAAATACAACATGTTTGAGTACAGATATTAAGTCAAAACAGTGAGGAATAGTAGGAAAAAACCCTAAGGGTCCAAACAGTTGGCAGTAGGCCCAAATATGACATTCAACCCAAAACATAGTAATACTTTCCAAAACACAATGATATCAAACAATTTTCAATTAAATACACGACTTAATAGTCGTACGGGACGAACCACATCACAATCCCCAATGGTGCACGACCCCACGCTCGTTATGTAACGTGTGCATCACCTCCAAGTATCATAACGATGTGAAATCCAGTATTTCATACCCTCAGGACAACATTTACGATCATTACTTACCTCGAACCAAAAGAAAATCGACTCCGCAATGCCCCTGCCGCTAGACTCGGCCACAAATCACCCCGAATCTATCCAAAATCAATATTATACATCAATACAAGCCATAGGGGCAAAGCCCATGGGAAAATTATCAAATTAACTCAAGAATCCCGAAATTTCTCAAACCCGGCCCACGTCTCGAAATTCAACCAAAGTCTCAAAATTCGACAACCCATTCAATTACGAGACTATCCATACTAGTTTTACTCAATTCCGACTTCGAATCGGCTTTCAACTCCCAAAAATTTATTTTATGAAGTTTCATAATTTTCCTCAAATTTTCATCCCAAATCTCTACTCAAATGATGAATCCAACGTTAGAATCATGTATTTTAGCCAAAATTGAGTTAGAATCACTTTCCCTGATGGTTTTCTTGAAAATACCTCGAAAAATAGCCAAAACCCAAGCTATCTAGGTCATAATATAAAATAAAACCCCAAATATCGTATTTATAATGCACCTTCCGGATTCCCTCACCGCTGACTGCGGTAAAGCACCTCTGACCGCACTTCAGGTGGCTGCATAGACAGGCCTTGGTATTTTGGCCATAGCATTCTCTAAAATGTCCAAATTATGTTTTCTTTATTTTTCTGGAAACTAGACACGAAGGGCTACAACTTTTGTTTTTGAATTATCTCAAAATTCCTTGTAGATCAAAAGATATAGGCTTCCGAAGTTGGACTAGTGGCCTTGCAGATTCTTCATGACCGCGGTCGCGGACCATTTTCCGCCGCAGCGGAAGTTCCACCGCTGCAGCGAAATATCACAACTTACAGCGGTCCTTTTGGCTGCTGGGGCGATGATTTTCCGCAGTCCGCGGCCCCCCAGGATCCTGAACAACTTTCAAGTGCCGAAATGTCCGAACTCGCTCAAAACTCACGCTGAAACTCACCCAAGGCCTCCGGGACCTCAACCAAATGTACCAACACATCCTATAACATCATTAAAATTTAGTCGAGCCTCCGAATTACTTAAAACAACACCAAAACACCAAATCCACCTCGGGTTCAAGCCTAAGGACTTCGAAACTTTCAAATTCCACAAACAACGTCGAAACCTATCAAATCAAGTCTGATTGACTCCAAATTTTGCACACAAGTCATAAATGACATAGTGGAGCTATTATAATTTCCGGTATTGGATTTTTATCCCGATATCAAAAGGTCAACCCCTCGGTCAAACTTCTAAACTTAAATTTTCATTTTTAGCCATTTCAAGCCTAAATTTACCATGGACCTCCAAAATACATTCCGAACACGCTCCTAAGTCCAAAATCACCCAATAAATCTAATCGATTTATAAAAGTTCAAATCCGATATTGAGTACTAAAAGTCAAAGACTTGGTCAAACCTCTCAAATTTTAAGCCTTAAGCTGAGAACCATTCTTCCATATCTGTTATGTTCCACCTGAAAATCCAAACAGACGATTTACATAAGTCATAATACATCATACGAGACTAGTCATGCCCGAAAACTGACGAGTGAAATGCAAATGCTCAAAACGACCGGTCAGGTCATTACATATAGTTATATGAAATAGTTTTTCTTTCTTTTTTGCCGCAAGCGAAGTAGTATTTAAATAATCAAAAAAGATAACAAAAGTTCCTAGCATGATTGCATATTATCATTAACCGAATTAAGTATGATAAATCGACAAAAAAAGATAAATTTCTTTTTTATTTTAATTCAAATTTAAAAACTTTACCTATAAATTCAAAATTATCCTTTAATTCAGATTCAGTATATATATATNATATAGGTTGAGAAATGGATTGTGGAACATAGGGACATTGACGCGTAAGTCTATAGAGTTGGAAAGAACTCTCCAGAAGAGGAAGGTCAATATAGCTTGTGTTCAAGAGACTAGGTGGGAAGGATCGAGGGCAGGGAATTCAGACGGGTATAAACTATGGTACTTGGAAGGCAGGAAGGGTAAGAACGGAGTGGGTATTTTGGTGGATAGAGAACTTAGAGAGTCAGTGATTGAGTCTAGGTGGGTGAATGATAGATTAATGGCGATTAAGTTAGTAGTTGGTGGGATCACCCTGAATATTATTAATGTCTACGCGCCGCAAACGGGATTAGATGAGAAGGTTAAGAGATGCTTCTGGGAGGGGCTAGACGAGGTGGTGCGTGTTGTGCTGCTTACGGAGAAGTTATTCATATGAGGGGATTTCAATGGGCATATAGGGTCGTCTGCTGGTGGTTGCGGCGAGGCGCATGGCGGCTTCGACTTTGGGGTTTGGATCGGAGGAGGTACCTCACTGTTGGATTCGCTAGAGCTTTTGAGTTGGTGATCACAAACTCTAGTTTTCCGAAGAGGGAAGAGCATTTGGTTACTTTTCGGAGTACGACGGCTAAGACTCAGATTGATTACCTCCTCCTCAACAATCTGAGTGAGACCCTCGCAACACAATATAGGCTCTTAGTGATGGATGTCAATATATTATTAAAGAGGAAGAAGCGGTTTGTTAGGGGTCAACCGAGGATCAGACATGGAGCCTTGACGAGGGATAAAGGTCAGGAGATTGAGGGGAGGTTGATGGCTATGTGATCATGGAGGAGTAGCGCATACGCTATCGAGATGTGTACATCGACAACAGACTGTATAAGAAGGCGGCGAGATAGGTGCTAGGGGTCTTGAAGGGTTACTCTGGCGGGCACCGAGGCGATTGGTGGTAGAATGGTGTGGTCGAAGGTAAAGTGGAAGCAAAGAAAGCAGCATATCTTAGGTTAATGGAGAGCACAGACAAGGAAGAAAGGAGAGGGAATAGGGAAGGTATAAGGAAGCCAGGAAGGAGACGAAGTTAATCGTCACGGAGGCTAAGGATGCAGCGTTTGGTCATCTGTACGAGGAGTTGGGGGTCAAAGGAGGAGAGAAGAAGTTATTTCGGCTGGCCAAGGTGTAAAGCCCCAGAAAATTTTGCTAAGTAATTTAAGATTTCGTGGAGCCAAGGTAGGCTAATTATTTTATTTTGTGTGCAAGTGAAGATTCATGACATTATATTATGGATATCAATTGGATATGTTAATAAGCATAAAAGTCATATTATAAGTGATTTGGGGTCTAAGGAGAGGCCTAAGTCTAAGCCAAGTTGGAAAATTTCATAATAGACTAAAGTTGTAAATGAGTGCGCACAAGGCCTCACTTTGGAAAACCATATATCTAGTTATATAAGGAGTTGTGTGATACACAACCTATCAAATTAAATCCCTTTGAGTCTAATTTCCAACACATCAAACCGTTCGTCATTTGGATGTGTATACAGAACGTTACAACCATTTTACTGGGCATGTGTCATTAGCGCGGCCATTAGCGTGGCCGCGCATATTGCAAAATATTCTGCCTCTGAACGCGCTAGTAGCGCGGCCATTAGCGCGAGCACACTAGTATCAGGTCTCTAAATACCCCAAGACCGGGTATAGAGAGTCCCTAAGTCATTTTTTGAGCAAGGGCTTGCTCTATCAAGGGGAATCCGTCCATACTTCCCTCCTATGATCCAAGGTAAGGTTTTTGGGGTATTTTGAGTTGATTACTAATCCTAAACACTTATATTAACAAGGATTGATCTTGAAAATCCATAGTTTTCCATTCAAATTCCTAAATTGGTCAAGAACACTACAAGTGAGGATTCTCAAATTCTTACTACAAAAGTATGTCTATCATCTCTAACTACTTTATGGTAATTATTTATGTATGATATATACGTTAGAATCATGGGATGGTGACTGAAAGCCATAAGTGCCTAACCTAAGTTGTGTTGGTGTTGTAGAGATTGTGAAATGGGTTAATTAAGGAGGTTGATGGTTGGGTGTGAATGGTTGATCACACATATGATGTTAGGAGTATAAATTGTTAAAGAATAATGGTGGGATGAATTGTTGGTAAATTGTAGTAGTGGGATGAACTAATACTACGGTTATGAGATGTAAAGATCTATACCTACAAGGTATTTGATAATATGCCTAAATGGCTTAAGTTATGAAATTTATTACTAATATTGACCCTATTGAATATTGTATTGTAGATTGAAGTTGCTTAAGTGTAATGGATCATTGGAGTATCTTTAAGGGGCAAATTTCAGGTATGTATAGCTAAAACTCCGTCTTTTAGAAATCGATTTTCATCGATGTTTGTGTGAATATGGTAAGATTAAAGTTGAATTGTTGCATCGATTGTTATTTTACATGAGTTGGTGTTGTAACCTTATATTTGTGAAAGATGCATTCCAATATGATGAATGTGCTATTCTTGATAACTTAAAAAGGGTGCAAGGAATATGAATCATGTAATGAAATGCTAAGACCTTAAATTGAGATTGGAGCTGCATATATTATGCCAAACTATGTGAAATCCTCTATGTATAGAGATATTGAAGTAATCAAATGAATTTGGGAAATAGAGTGTGACCAATGTGCCGAGAACTTGAATTATAATTGTACCTGGTGATGCCTATGACATGAGAAAAATATGAAACAGATTATGAAATGAGCCCCGACTTTGCTTCCCATAAATGACTTCAATAAAGAAGTGCCCAAAAGGCTTTGTACACAATTTCTGCCATAAGTGGCTGTTCGAGATAATGTTTTGCCTTATGAGTACATCCAATGTGATTCGAGTTGTTACATACTTCTGTTGAAATTGTATATTGTCATGATTGGAAAAGAGTAATTCAGGAACAATTGGTGTAATTGCTTGTTTATGCCTTTGATGTGTGTTTTATTGTGGTTTGGTGTGTCCCCTCCTTTTTGGGAGAATTCGTTGTGTTTAAAGTTCTATTGTTAATAAACTTGAGGTGTATGACTTCCAAATTATTGTATATGCCCAAGATTCATGATTCCTCTCATGTATACTTGACATCTTGAATTGAATGGCTTGTTGTTGAAATTGATATTGATGTGAAATATGTGAAAATGATGTGAAATGTGGGAAAGAAGAGATTGAGTTATGAAATGTGGCCTAGTGCCAAGAATGATGTGAAGAGTTGTGGTCCCAAGTGCCGATGAAATGACATATGTGAAATGAAATGATTAATGAGAAGGGAATAATGCCTTGGTAAGGCGGCCTAGCTAATCGGGTCGAGATCGGACTCCGCTCAAGATAACGGTGGTATTGTGAATGAATTCTGGAGAAAGGGAAAATAAGATTGTGATTGAAATATATGTCTCAAATGAGGCGACCTAGCCGATCGGGTCGAGATCGGACTCCGCTCAAGATAGCGGTGGTATTGTGAACAATGTTGAACAGTATGAAATGCCCCAAACTAAAAGTTATGGGAAAATAATGTGAAAATGGCATGATACTTTTATTTGATAATGTTGTGATCATTTAAAGTACTTGAGTTGCACTTGTGATTTTCTTATTATTGTATGAAAGTTCTTTCTAACTAGATGGTGTTTAGTTATACATACTAGTGCTATTCGATGGCACTAACGTCCCTTTTGCCGGGGGAGCTATATCTTTAAATGATGTAGGTGGTTCCATAGCAGGCAGTGTTGGACGTAACTAGTGACGCATCTTCCTTTCAGCTGATTTGGTGAGCCCCACTTCATTTCGGGGTCTTGTACCATTGTTTATCATGTACTTTGTATTTAGAGGTATAGTCGGAGCCTTGTTTACGATATTTACATATTATTCTTCAGTTGTATTTAGAGGCCCCGTAGACAGTTGTGGGTGGTGTTTGGTATTGGGAATTAAAGTAGAAATATTGATGTGTGGCAAAGATTTATAAAACTTGTAATATTTTGATAATTATGAATGAAGTTGCTAATAGAAATGAAATGGAAGTCGTAAATGATATATGTACAAAGTATGATTAACGGAGTCCATCTCCTCCTTATTCATGGATTGGTTTGGGTAGAATGAAACCTAATAGGCTTGCTCAGTCGGGTTTACTCGGTTGAGCGCCGGTCGTGCTCATCGGTTTTTGGGGCGTGACACAAGGCGAGAGAGAGGAAGGCTCGTGACCTGGATCAAGTAAGGTGAATCAAGGATGAGGAAAGTAATGTACTAATAGAAGATGCCCAGATTAAGCAGAGATGGCAGGATTACTTCCATCGGCTTATGAATGATGTATGGAACAAAGACATTGTGCTAAGGGAATTGGGGCACTCCGGGAGTCACCAATACTTTAGGTATTGTAGGCATATTAAGGCTGAGGAGGTCGTGGGAACAATGCTCAAGAAGAGTAGGAGCTGAGCAACTGGGCTGGACAAAATTTCGGTGGAATTGTGGAGGTGTGTGGGTAAAACAGGCTTGGAATGGCTGACTGTGATGTTTAATGTTATCTTCAGGACGAAGAGGATGCCAGCTAAATGAAGGTGGAGTACGATGGTACCGCTATACAAGAACAAAAGTGACATTCAGAATTGTAACTGTAAGCACGTGATTTTTGCTTCACGAGCAATCACTCCAAAAGGAAAACAAAAAAATAAAAATAGTGACGGATGATTTCGCTGTACAATTTTTCGATTTTTTTTCGTGACATGTGTTATTAGTCATTTGTGGGTCTGTCCATTTTGCATCTAGTCATTATCAAACAAAAATACAAAAATATGTGTCAGTAAAAGAAAATTCAAAATAAAAAAAATATAAAATATATATATATATGTGTGCATCGTTCGTTCTAGGCTTTTAGTTAACTTACTTGAATATT